CTCCTTCTAAGACATTCATTAATTGCAGCTACAGCATTCAGTTTGTTGAGCACAAAAAAACCCCCAAAAAACACCGGACACTTGTTGTTGTGTTGTTTCCGAAGGTCAGCGAAATGAATGATTCTGGAATGTCTGTTGAAGGTGGTAATTATTGGAATGTGACTAAAACTTCACTGAGTATTAACTGCAAAGGTCTGAGTGTACCCTTCAACAAATTTATGGATGAGCGACATTCATGGGTAAAAAGGCAGATCATCAACCAGGTGCAGGGGCCAGACGAAAGGAGGCATGGTGGGCACCTCCCAAAATAAAAGTGCCTCAAAAAGATGGATCGTTTCGCATCCAGAAAGAGCCTCAATTGTCATGAGTGTTTCTGGATGGCAGAAAGAGATAAAGTCCTCGCACTAAAAGAGACAATGACAACAGTCTAAGTCAGAAGGAAGAGACTGCAGTAAGGTCTGTGTTTGACTCGGTAAACAATATGATACATCCTTTCAACCAATGCTCGTCCACATTATTTCTGGAATGGAAGGTCCTGTTACTATCGCTGTTTATGATGGCAAAAGAGACGGGCGAATCTGCTTTTAAAGATTTCTGCAAAGGAAGGTTGGTTGGGGAGGTTAAGAAGTTTCATGATCCAATCTCAAAAATGAAAATAAATTCATTCAGTCATCATGTTGGACAAGTGGTCTCTGCAAAGGGAACAGGAAAGCTAGCTCTCATCACAGCAGAGTGCAGTCTCATGGCAAGGTTTGTGGTCACTGGCACCTCCAGGGGCATTAGCATCGATGATTTGATGAAGTACAGCTTGGAGCCTCTCCCATTGTCCATTGCTCGCTCAGACGGTGGCCTAATGAAGACTGACAAGGCAGCCGGGCCACAAAACTGAAGGAAGTGGCCGACAAGGCCAAGGTGCAGCAAGCAATGTGCAAAGAAATGCTCACCTGTAAGGTATGTCACTGAAATGTGCTGGGTTTTTCCTTGTTTATAGCTCGTAATAAAAATTAAAAGGCAGGCTTGATCTTATTTGTTCTGCCTTTTTTTTTACTGATTAACATTTGTGTAAAGTATACATATTTTTTACATTATTTTTTTAACAGCTGATGCCAGCACATTCTTCTAATGAAGACATCACCATTTGCGACAGTGATGTGATCATGGACGACTTGTCTGAGGAACTGTCCGAGGAAACTCCTCATTCCTGTTGCCAGACTGAGGCATTAGAGGGCCAAGTTTCCTCCCTGAAGCGCATGTAAATTATGCAATGACAATTATCCATGGATACACCAACATGTGTTATCCAACTGATAGAAATTTCACTGATTTCCATTTACTGAAATTGGTGTCTTTAAAATAATACCTTTACTCTGAGATTTAAACAAGACCATAAAACATAGCACTGGATTCTCTTGGACATTTTGTCAATAACTTGGGGGGGGGGGGCAGGTAAAAAAAGGAAGGAAAAGTTGAAACAGGGGCATTCAGACAAGCCAGAAAAAACTTTTTGTCTATCCTACTCTTTCATTTTTGAAACTCCACTTTACCTGGGTGGACTTTCTGTTCTAACGGAGCGAGAGAAGAGGGCCGCCTTCACCAAAGGCACGAACAAGGAGGCCCTCTTGTTCTCCCTGCTGACTGTGGTGTTTGGGGAGGAGCGCCTCGCAAAGGGCAAGGCATGTGGGCTTCGGCAAGCCCACAATATTAAAAGCGAGGAAGCAACCATACCACTCGATGCTGACAAGCTGAATGCAATCAAAGGTATTCTTTTTTTATGTTTTTTTTCTATTTAATTTATAAATTTTGTTTGTATTGACCAGTCCTTCTGATTTGAGGTAAGCGATCGCATGCACACATGCATAAAAGCTTCCCAGAAGTACGAATAATCGCACGCCTGAATCCCTCTGTACAGCACACCTCGGCATACATTTGTGGCATAATTATACTTTTGTAAGATCTTGAAATGGGTTAACTATAAACTGAGATGACTATTATAAAAAGATACCTCATTGTCCAGCCCCAGTTTAAACCACAGATTCACACGACTAGAAAAATCCAAGGGTGCCTTTTTTTTTAACATGCCTGTGATTTTAGAATCAAAAGGACTGGTTGATATTTCAAAATTAGTCACCTACCATATAAAAATATGGCCAAAGTCAGGACAGTGGAGACTGCCCTTTTTGTGTTATGACCCGTCTCTTCTCACTGTCAGTGATTGAGACCGAGACAAAACTGAAGACATCCTTTCTTTCTTTTTTTGTCATTCAGAATGTGTGCTTCGCTGATTTAGACTTCCAAGTGGACAGTCATGTTTCTCACCAAGGGAGTTTAACGACAAAATTAATCAGAAGTGTGCCACTGCTAGACGTGCCTTGAAAGAAAAACAGGCAAATCAAAATTAATTTGTATAGGCACTAACTGTTTACTGTTAGAAAATCCTTGAAACTAAGTGTTGTGTTTTTGTTTAGTTTTTCATGATAATGTCTTAGCTTTGGATAGAATAATCTTACCATAACATTTTTAGACTTCCAAGTGGACAGCTATGTTTCTCACCAAGGGAGTTTAACGACAAAATTAATCAGAAGTGTGCCATGGATTATAGATGCTGGGGCAGTTCTACAGAAATTACCCGCAGCAGCAATTCCTTCAAGATTCGTTCCTTCAACATGAATCATTCTGGAATGTCTGTTGAAGGTGGTAATTATTGGAATGTGAGTCAAAATTCATTGAGTATAAACTGCAGAGATTTGAATGTACCCTTCAACAAAGTGATGGACAAGCGAGGTTCATGGGTGAAAAGGCAGGTCATCAACCAGGCCCATGAGCCAGTGCATGAACAAAAATATAACGAGGAAGACCTGCTGCAACCCATAGCCTTCAAAGAAAGTAACGTGCATCAAGGAACCATTTTAACGTAAGCAAGTCTCCGTCTCAAGGGCCTGTCAGGGCATACTGGATGCATGCCTTTGAGCAACAGATTCGTAGTCACAATGAACACATCAAGAACAAAAAGTACCCCGAACGCCGTCATGAATCCTACAAAGCAAGTCCATGAAATAATGACTGAATTGGGTTATTTCTTAAATTCAAAATTGAGGACTACAACCTAAATTGTACATTTAAGCTCGTAAGACATGCTATTCAGTTGATTCTCCTCATATGCAGTTCCCGACAATGCCGCAAATATTGACGATGACTCTCGTCATGAAATCCAAAAGCTTGCAAAACGTTCAGCAAACCTTTTGATTACCATGTCGAAGGACACATCAGTGACATTTTCAAGGATTTCAACTGGTCAACTGACCTGCGTGAACTGCTGAGCCAAATCTGCATGTGCCTCAAATCAAGTTCACCAAGCCAGAATGCTACGTAGCTTCACGTTGCTTGTCTAGAACTTGCCAGGACACACTTCACCTTCTAGATGCCTACACCATATTTTATGATGCATTTCTCGACCAAGGGGACAGGACTTACTACCTGCACCTCTGCATTGTATATATTGCACAAGACTAGTAATCAACAAAGCAAGAATGGTCATCAGAGAAATCACAAAGAAGATTATGAAGAAGAACATGACAGCAGAGGGAAAGCAGTGCAAATTAAGGGATTTCAAGAAGGAGCCATGCTGGTGCTGCACTTTATGTCAGTGTGCTTCCCATACTGCAGAACTACATGTACATGTATGTTCTCCTTTTTGAACAGAAAGTGCCAGTGATTCACAGGCTACATGGTGAACAAATGAGGCTCATCCAAGTCTTCCTCTCTATAACCTATTTATTGAAACCAGAGTGTATCATTAACACCTCAAACACTGGCAAGAAGTTGAAGGATCTACAAATCACAGAACAGACAATGCTTCTAATCAGGGACATGTTTGTTGGCGAGCCTGCCAAGAAAATAATGAGAACCTCCATTTTGAATCAAACAGTAGCCAAAGTCCAGCGACACGCCGAACAGGCATACTGTGATACTGCGGTGTGAATGCTTCAGAAACTCCCTGTCCACAATAAGCTGTTGAGATATCTTGGTTCAGATATCAGATTTGTTCTTTCCCCCGATGTTATCAAAATTAACAATTTACTCCCGAATGACATCATATACATGTATATAGGTAGTAAATATCAGGCATTTTCCAATACCTTACAGTGTTGTTTGACATTATAACGTATGGACTTCGTCTTGGGCACGTGCTGTGCACGTGCATATACTTTGCTCACTTCCCATTACCATGCACATCAATCAATCATGGGGGAAAGGGGGGGGGGGGGATATCATAGCATTTGTTCATCCCACTTTTTTCATACCCGCATAAAAATTGTAGCCTACATATGATTCTATAGCTCAGATCAGCTGATTCAATGACTCCAAACTTGAAAATGATATTTAAATGATGATCTTTTGCCAAACAAAAGTTAAAAGTGGTCAGAAATAGGCTCAGATCGCACCACAGAGCTTCTAGAGTCCAAACATTTTTTGGGGCCCTATAAGCAGGCTCCAAATAAAACCCCACGCCATTAAGGCGTTCACGCTCGCATTACTTCGCCCTCGCCCAAGACGGAAAATGTCAGACTTTTTCATTTTTTCCGAATCTCATCCCTGCAGACAACAAACCTGGCATTGTAGCAGAAGCTTCTTCCTAAAAAAATATTACTTGTATGCAATATCTGCTAGAATATTGAAACTAGTAAGGTCATGAACAACCCAAGCATATATAATCACTTAAAATAGCATCCACTAGAATTGATGAGCACACATTGTACACCTCAAACTTCATTGGGTTGTGTTAATTTCATCTAAATTAAGGCAACTGACCTATTGCCGTTTGCGAATTAGCCACACCCCTTAAACAACCCTATGGAGTTTTTGTACACAAACTTTTGTTTGTCTCAGATTTTGCGCGTTTCGTGTCCATTTGTATATCATGTATTGGACAATATTTTACAAGCTTCGATGACACAATTCTAACGTGATTCTACCATGATAGATCAATTACATATGTACTTGAAGAGTTTAAATGGTAACGAAATGTAAAGATAAAACAGTAAACTAGATATTGAAGAACTGAATGGTTTTTAAAACCATGTCTCGAGAGAACACATTGGCAAGAATACAACTGCTACTGGTTCATGCGATAGACCAAACCTTGGAGATGATTGTTGCTAGGATACAGTGAGTACTGATCGGTGCAGAGAGGAAGCAGCTGTCATGACGTGGCTTGTGGTTCTTGGCAGGTGATGGGAATCAGTTATCAAGGGACTGTAAGAAAGACAAACGAGAACACCTTCATAAAATCTACACACAGGTACCTGTCCATGCTTACCAATGAGCACCGGCTGCATTCCAGTCACTCCAATATGTTTGTCTTTTTAGCTAGGCCTTGTGCACCAACCCCAAATGGAACATTAATGTTACCAAGAACTATAGTCAAAGTGATCCGTCCCTTGTTGGTGAACGTTTGAATCATTCACATGGTCTCCATACTGGCTCCCATATAGGAAAGCATGTAAACCAAGCATGATGTCATTACGATTCAGGTCTTCACCCTTACATGTAGCAACAGTCAGAAACTCACTTACATCATCTGCTGCAAAACAACTCATTCAAGCTTCCACATCATCCACATTAGATCTAATCTGCAATAGCCTACTTGTAGGTTTACCACAACATACAAGCCGCTCACACACTCACAAGAACAAAATCATCTTGCGACATAACACCCATCTTGTGCAAATTTCATTGGTTACCAATCCAGTACCGCATACATTACAAAGATTTCCTTCTTACATTCAAAGCTCTTCATGGCTTAGCCCCACTGTATGTGCAGGAAATGTTACAATATCTTCACCTGTGCTAGACCCATATACTAGCTCATAGCCAGTATACTGTTTGTCCAAAAGACTCATTTTTTCAACCTATGGAGAACGTGCATTTTCTAGTTTTGCACCACATCTCCATAACTCCTCACCGGACAATTAAGGGAAATACAGAACCTCTCTGATCTCTTCACACGCCATCTCATAACCCACCTCTTCAATCAGTTTTTCTCTCACTCATAATGTCTTTTAAAAGTTTTTTTTCCCACTGACGGGCGCCTTTGAATAACAATTAGTTTCAGATACTGCGCACCTTACAAATGGTTATTATATTTAAGATTTGAGGCTTTGCATGGTGGAGATACTAAATAATGAAAGGTTTGCGGAAACACCATGTGCGAATAATTTCTCAACTAAGAGAATGGTTCTGAAAAGAACCAGAGGTTATACCTCTGGTTCTTTTCAGAGTTTATACCTCTGGTTCTTTTCAGAACCATTCTCTTAGTTGATAAATTATTCGCACATGGTGTTTCCGCAAACCTTTCATTATTTATTTGTTATTATATTTACTATTATTATTACACTGACCTTGTGAATGCTTGGGTTACCACCCCTGATACATTGACAATGCCTCCGATACTTTCTCTCTTGTGGGATGTCTGTATCTGCACTGACTGACTGCTGACTGCTGTGCAAGGTTTGCAGGTTAGTGGGGTCTGATTGCTGACAACTGATTGCCCAAGATTGCCCGAGATACTTGGCGAGACTAGAAGAGATAGGACAAGATCAAGATCAGAAACTCAGGTTTTTCCCTGTACTGATTCACTACGGAACCCTTTGGAAGAATATCAAGCTTCCTGACTTCTAATAAATAACTTGCATCCATTGAGTGTGTTGTACACACAATCCTTTTTTCTTTCACCTAAAATGGCCTTTAGAAATTTGTTACAAAAACAAAGGAATTTGAAAATCAAATTGATGAACTGATGTGATACTCAGCTAGGGACATTGTGCCCCAATACACGTACCCATGAAATACAAGGACTCAGAGAAAGCTCTGGCGAGTCCAATGGAAGGGATTCTTGAATGCAACGCCAACACACATGATGAGGCTCATGCAAAGACAGCATGGGTTTGTACAATATTCAGAGGGCACGATTATAAATAACACAAGAAATTAAGTTATAATACAAAAGGCCTTGTGCCTAACTAGCTCTGCATTGTATGATGTACATGTAGTCTCCTCAATACACATTTTGGCCTTTCAACTTAAAAAATTGGGGGGGGGGGGGGGTAGAATGCTCTTGATAAAAGGTTAGGGCCGAACACCCCCCCCCCCCCCATTGGAAAGCTGAAAATGAATTTTGGTACAATTAATTGGCAAAGGATCACAAAGGTGATGAGCTGACCAAAGTATTTACAATAAAAATGAAGTGGAAGTCTAGGATAAGCTATTGACAGATATGATGGTGTGGTTTGAAACAACACCAGTTATGCAGTTATATAGATGATTAGTTGTTACCTTGAGATGAAGTTTCCTTGTGTGACAGTGTGAGATGGTGAATGCTGGACTTGGGGGCTTTGCGTTTACGGCTTCCAGTAACTCCAACCTGTTTTGATGAACTGCATGTGCTCTTTGATTGCCCTAGGAAGATTAAATCAGTTCAAAGGTAGTTAAGACTGCTAACACAATGCTGGAAACATGTGTCTGTTCAATTAGCTGCCCTGTGTCCACAGTAAATGTACACAAATTAAGTGGCCAGTAAAAGTAACCAAGGAAACTCAGGAAAAGTAACTATGAGGTTACTTTTGTTGTTTGCGGTAGATTTAAAGTAGTAAAAGTAACTACAATGGTGAGTTTTACCAAAAAAGTCCATGCAATGCAAACAAGGCTTGATGTCCCAGCCCTAATCAACACAAAGCATGTTGTTTACCTTTGTGTCTTGCAGGGCATCGGCCTTCCTTTTTGACAAATGTAGCATTCTTATAGAGACATGTGGATTTCTTCAGACGATGGCATCTGCCTTTAGGTTTGAACTGATCAGGGGAGTATTGGGGCAAAGAAGCAAGGCGGGCCTCCACGTCAATTTCACCATAGTCACTGCAATCAAAGACCAAAACCAAGACAATCTATTAATTGGAAGGCACGTGACGTTTAAACAATAGAGAACTAAGAACTCACAATGAAGTATGAGCCAGATTTTTTTTTAAAGGGAAAATACAAAATTAGCCTTTGCTGTAATTTCTCTGACTTGTTGGAAGTTTTGTGAGTGTAGATGCTGGAAAAACTAAGAAAAACAATCATGATTTGTAGTCTGTTTCCCTGACTCCACTTAGATGAAGCGGAGCAATTTATAGACATCAGGGAATTGTAAGGTCAGGGAACCATTCTAGCTGGCTTGTACCCGTTCATAGAAGTGTATATCGAATGCCAACAAAATGCGGACTAATTAAGTGTGGTAAATTTGGGGCACTTTTTGACAGAAAAAACGCTGGCCAGCTGACCAGCGTTGGACATTGATACAAAAGTACCACTTTTCTTGAAAATGTCAACACACCAGGTGCCATGATTTTACAGGATGCTTTAGACTGTTACTCAATAACAGTCCAGTAAGGTATTTCATAATAATTTGGTATTTTTGTTTTTTGATGTTTCAAATGCTGTATATTCCCTGTAAGAGTGTTGCAATTTTTATTTGATATACATGTAGTTTCACATGTGTTTTTTTTTCTCAAGCACTTGTACGTGTATTTTACTTTTTAAAGACCTTGTTTTTAACTATGGCACAAATCAAGTTTTATATCTTGCTAATACAACTGCCCAATTTCATTGAACATTTTTGTTAAAGTACGCACCAACGCGAATGCTTCAGCAGAACTTAAATCCAAAGCTAATGAAAATAAATGCACAAGTTGCAAACATGTAATTTTTTTGCCTAATGCTTACACGTGAATGAAGATAGCCAGAACTTTCAATAAAACATTTGCTAAATTGAACCGGGGGTGGGAACGCTTGCCCATTTTCTGTTACAAATCAAATGCAATTTTTACATTTTTATAACCGAATGAGCAAGATGTGAAATTGGACGAGAAAACCTAGATATATAAGAAAAGAATGACTCACAAATCCAGCGTGTGTGGGAGTGAACTGCAACCACTGACAGTTCTTTTGCGGACCTTTCTTCTGCTGGGACGTTTCGGTTTGTCAGGACTAGGTTGGAACCCCACGTCATCCCCATCGCTAAGGCTGCAACCGTCTGGATGCCTCCATGTCTTCTTGCAATTGAATGGCCGTTCTGGTCTCTGCAGTGACTCCAACATGCCTAACAAAAACCAACAAGTACGAGTGCACAATAAGCACAGGCCGTCTTGCATGAAATCTTTCAATATGATCCCTACCAGAGCTTAAACATGCGACGCCTAAAAATGCCAGTGCCAAGAAATAACTGTGTGCTTCAGGGTACCATCCACGCCGGCACAAGTGATTTCTCCGTGCACTTATAGTTGCGTGTACTCACAGGCCTACTATATTTGAGCCTACCTTCCATGACAAATTCTCTGTAGAGTCGTCCCTTACAAGACCTAGATGAAGTTCTTCTAGCATACTGTTCTTCCATCCAGTTATCTGCATCACTACAAGATGGCAGATCTTGCACGTCCACACCCTGCTTCTCATCTATGCCATTATTGAACTTGAATGTCTGGCATGGACTGCTATATGATTCAACTTTCACGTCTGTCCTGAGAGTCTGTGACTGTTTCATGAGTGACTGTGACTGTTTCATGAGAGTCTGTGACTCTTTCATGAGAGTCGATGACTGTTTCATGACTGTTGTTTCCCTTGTGGGTACATGTACGTGTTGGCAATCATCCTTTGCACGTCTCGTGCTGTGATTGTCTGTAGCTGCATTGGATACTTTCTGATTCTCCTCAACACATGTGTCCAGATTGGTAATTGTTTCATGCTTCACATTGGATGTATTGATCCATGCACAGTTAGCATTGTAGTCTGTCTTGTAGAGTGGTGAAGGTTCATCATCTGTGTCGAGTTTCTCAGAGTTCCGTTCAATGTCCAGCTGATCTGAGCACATCTGTGATTGTACAGAGTAGAATGAGTATCAGGGTTAGCCCAAGACTACATTCAAATTTCATTATCCCTACATACTATTCATAAGATGAATTTGAGTCGGGTTGATGTAAATCAATATTAGTTTTGCCCTTCACCGACGTATAAACACTGTATACTCAGTGTGTTACCTCCGGAGTGTACGTTGGAAAAAATCAATCGGGTGGGACTCGAACCCACGACCTCCTGCTTTCTGGTGCAGATGTCTTACCACTTGACCACCGAGCTTGCGGGATCGGTTGGCTGGTGCGAATCTGATGTACATGTAGCTGCGGGTACCGCAAATAAACTATTACATAGTCAGTTCTTGACAAGAGCAGTCAAGCCACAGTGGCAGAAGACGTCACTATCATCACGAGGAATTAAATCCTGTTTTGGGAACTCTGGCAGTGCTACCCAGGAAATTCTGAGCATATTTCACGCAATTGCATAAGTTTGAATGCACTGTGCATGCCGCATACTTGGAATTTGCTGGGAAGTGTAGCTGCAGTTGCCCAGACTGGATGTGATTCATCTTGTTGGTAGTGACCTCTATCGCTGCAGCTGCGGCTTGACTGTGCATGCAAGGGATCAGCTAATGCTCTGGCGAACAGAAATACTTGTACATACCTCAGCAAACTCAAAGAGTCTGGACTTGGGTGACAGTGGTGTCTGTGATACTGCAGGACTCACGTTGGATGGTTTACTCATCGATTGCTCACCAGCGAGTAATAATAAACTCAATCCTCCCATATCACATGGATCTACATGCAACACATCAAATAACATACCAGGAAATATTCAGTTGATTGTTTTCATTCCCTGCAACGACAAACATTTTAAGACTAGGATTAGCAACGGATACCTGGGTATCCAATAACCAACCAATATTTAACCAAATAACAGGTACCCGGTTTTATTTCTTTTCTTTAAATTTGTTTTTACTTGAAATTTGTTGCCGATGCCACCAAAGCCTTTTTGAAAGGAAAGGAAACACAACTGACAAAAGGTGAATGCATTTTAAGTTGGTCGAATTTGGAAGTGAATATTGCATATCGTCAAATTTGCTATGCATTCTCATTTGCGTGATGGTGACCTTTGAACTAGCTATAAGAGTCAATGTGTACCACTAGTTGGGTTGTGTGATTATTCACAGATATTTGTAATTATAGACATTCAACATGGTTTTGAGTCAAAGTAGCACTATACATGTAACTTACTGGTGTTGAGGCGTTGTCTGATTTGACTATCTCCTAAAACAAAGCACAGGGAGGCAGTCCAAATCGGGCAATTAACACTGACCAATCAATGCCTTGGGCGTAGCGGTACTTTCCTCGCCTTCCACCGCTGTGACCCGGGTTCGAATCTCGCCCTGGCCAACATGTGGATTGGGTTTTCAGTCCCTGCCTGATTCCGTGGGTTTCCCTATTATATTCTTCTGGGGTTTTCCTCCCACCTCTAAAACTGCAATTTCTTCTCATTATCTTCTCTCTACAGGTTTCTTCAGGCTTGCGAGTCACAGTGCCTAGGATGCTTTTGAGGAATCTTTGGTTTCAGAAATAAATTATAATTATAAGAATAATAATAATAAAAGACCTCAAACCATATTGTATATCCTGACAGAAATTAACATGTGATAATTCAGTTTATAGACGACTACATGTACGTACCAGCGAGCTTTCCTGCAGAAATGCCACTCAAAGGCGACACATCATTGTGTTGTGACCAGCAGTCTGGTGACCAGACTACACTATTGGTCTTCTGCACAGCTTTGCTTGGTGATTTCCTTGTTCGCATGGCCGGACTGGTGCCCTTCGTGTTCTGCTTATTGGAGCCGCACCATTTATAATCAGGGTGTGCCTTCATAAATGCCAACTTACACTGTGGTAAAAAATATGTAAAAAGGAATTATCGTTTCTAAGGATGGTTCAACGATGGAAAAATGGCTTTAAAAAAAATATTACATGTATTATTGCCTCACTCAAAACCCATCTCCCCTATGGGGGATTTTTGGCAGACAAGCCATCTGTACCAAGTCCATCATGGTAGTGGTGGTCTTTTGGTGGATTTCAGCAGATTGTGTCCTGAAGCATTAGGGCCTATGTGAAGCAGGGTCAGTGATGGATTTTGGTGGACTTGGTATACTTACTTAGTAATTTACTCAGTAGGGACTTAGGGTTAACGGGTATGAACCAGCTACTATAACTTAATTTATCTTCAAGCAAACTTGCATCCTTGATCCTGATTGGTCAATCCATGTCAACAATGATGCGATAATATACAGTCTGTATCGCACTCTGTGAATTGGGCTATTCAAAGATGTGCATGCTGTTGCCATTCCTGCTGCATGCACTTGTAATAGAATAACCGCTGAAAAGTTTGTGTACTGCCTGCGTGTTCCATCTTTACTGAGCGGCAAGTTTGAGTGAAGATAAATTTGTTGTCCCGCGCTCGTGGAACACAGAAAATCATAGTGCGTCTCGCCTCGTACATATTCGGCCGAGTGGTATGTGGGACACAGTCGCACTACATTATTCTGTGTTCCACTCGTGCTTGTGGGATAACTAATATTGTTATATCGTGTGCTTGGATACTGTCATTTCATTGGTCTAGAGAGAATTGCAATGTCGAATGCTCAGTCTCATGTCCGGCAGGACATAAAAGCCTCCAGTTTTCAAAGGTTGCAGCTCAGTATTTAATTTATTTCTCACAGTACATGTAAGTTACAACCATTTATCTTTTTGAGTTGTTGGCACGATAAACACAACAATTGTTGACTGCTGTGATGTGGGATATGCCGTTTTTAACACCCGAGGGTGGCATATCCCACATCACAGCAGTCAACAATTGTTAAGTGTACATTAAAGTACACGTACACAATGATTTTCCCCCTTGACAGTCAGCATTCAGGCATGCCCTGTGACCTATGGGTTCTAGGCATGACAGATTCAGCGAGCTACACTTTGACGGTTGGAAACGGTGAACAGTATCACGGACTAAAACACTGAGCAAGTTAGAGGTCCGCTACAGTATAAAAGCCTAGCTTTAAATTGGTCCATCACATAAAACATTGACAAATGCAAATGGCACACAATACCATTAAACTGCAAAACCAGCCAACTAGGCAGGGCAGGGACTTACATCTTTGGCTAGTTGCAGATATTTGGACTTTTCCTCCCAGTCTAAGACTGCCCACATGTCAGCCAACATCTTGGTGCAAGATCGGTTGTCTAGCCATGGATGGCCGGTCTTTACCATGCTACGATGACGCTTGCAGAACAACAAGAAGGCATTCATTGGTCGTCTTAATGTGGAGTCCGAGTCCTCAGGGTTGGTTGATGATTCCATGACTTCACTGTAGCTTACACTATGATTTGATGACAGAAGGGAATGATTTAAGACAGATTTGAATGATTTAAATGCCCTAGTCTGTAATAAGTTGAGTCCATCACTGATTAAGAAATGACTTGTTACATGGTGTCTTAGATTACTTGAAGGCCCAGCTGTAATTGGTCCAGAACGGCCACGTGTCAAGTGTGTGCTTTACATGCAGTTAGATATAGGCAAGTTCCAATTAAATGCAATAACCACCATTGTGTATTGCATTGTGACACCCAGCTTAAACTGTTTACACTTTGACAGACAATATGCCTCACAATGCTATTTTGCCGTGAGTACGCTGTGATTGGCTGGTTCGATGGGAAAATGAAGTTGGGTCATTCCACCGGGTTGGGGAACAATGTGTGACATATGACCATATTAAGAAAAGCATGAATGCCTTGCTAGCAGTTGCTCTACATAATATTTGTTGTTGTGTCACACTTCCATTGAGTGATTTTTACACCGTTACATCCAAACTTGAGGTATTGTTTCTGCTATATTTGAACCCCGACTATACCAAAACAAAAGCTTTTCTTGGTGCTTAGGTGTCCAGTTGTAAATATGAAATGTCAGTTTGGGTAATATTTTACATACGTGTAAAAAATGGCAAAAAAAGAATATTTGGATGTAACATTTACACGGTGTCAATGTGACGTCCGAATTAATACATTTTTGCTCATATTTTTGTCAAAATACGTTCAAATAATTTCAAACTTTCCCAAGCAAAAGCTGAGTGATCACAGAATACAGAAAGAATGTCGCATCCTGATGCCACTTCAGCGGTTGTGTACAAAGTCTACGGAGAGTCAGGAAATTTTCCAAGTGTCTCCTAAAGAAATTGGAAATATTTTTCAGTCTCAGATTCATGTTTTACCGTCATTTTTTAAATGATCGACCTTTATTGAGATGATATGAAGAAACAATGGCGTCAGGTTGCAACATTCCTTCCCAGAATACATCCGAATTCTAATACAGTAATTAACTCCAGCTCAGTCAGCACTCTCGGGACCCGAGAATTTGTGACTACTCACGCGAATGCCGACTTTTCCTATAAAGTCATCATTTTGCTGACTTAGGCCTATACATAAATTGAATCATGGACTAAAAAACTAGATTGCATGGCCTATGCACTTGGAAATTGGAATTCTAGACAAAGGTATTTCTTCTATCAAAGTGCATTTCAAAAAGCCATAGCGTACTGATCCCTGAAAAATCACAATGAGCACTGGACTCATGCTCTTGTGTTTCAGAGGCAACAGTGGCGTGGGTTCGAGCCCGCCGGCTGGACACTTGTGCCCTTGAGCAAGGCACTTAACCATTATTGCTTCGTCCTTCGGATGGGACGTAAAGCCGTAGGTCCCATGTGTTGTATAACGCACGTAGGGCCAAAAAAAAAAAAAATATCCGGTTTCTGGTATGGAGCTTGCCCAAAAAGTGGTGCGGCGACGCGGCTTTTTTTTTTTACCTGATTTTTTGCTTCAAATGTCGGCTGATGACTGCAAATGGCGCCCGACTAAACTTAGTGCAAATATATGGGAGTACAGAGAGGCCACATAAAGCTTATTCTCGACCATAACCCAATATAAAAACACGTTAAAATTGTGCAGCAGCAGGATTCCAGTCAAACCAATTCCAGTTGATCTGAGTGAATGCAAAATGTTTCATTTTTTTAACAGAGGGCGCAATGTTCATTTGGCGATCGATTAAAAAACAAGTAAGCTGCAAGGCTCTTCCTACACCTACCCAGAATACATTGGGAATCACACACACATTTGTAGAGCATGGAGATTGATGTGGATGGTTTTTGAACTGCCAAAAACTTGCCTTAAAATTGGATTTAACTTTTAAGGTCTCAAATTTTGCAGGTGACATGCTTGCAACTATAGCATTTTGATGTATGTGTTGTGTGGGCATTAATTAGCCAAATGGTGAGTAAAAAAACGTCAGTAGTAATTTTGCACGTTTTTATGCACTCACGGTCCCAGTCCCCGTCCCAGTCTGACGTACACACTACTATTACTACTATAGTCCAAAAATGTGGGACTTTCAATACTGTGTATGAGAGTCCCAAAACCTAAGCCATTGAAAACATGCAAAACAAGAAAATAGACTGGCATCTCAAACAACCAGTCCAACACAGCTTCAGTACTGCATCAATCAACAGTGCCAGAAGAATTTAAGAAACATGTGGCATGAAGTGGGAACTAGTCTCAATTTACTACACATTTCTCCATATTCAAGCCACCAGACTATTGACACTGAATGAAGAGGTTAGTCTTTTCAAATAGTTGGACCATGGCTGGACATGTACCAGTCTAGTATTTAGCCACATTTTGAAATCACTTGACGTTGACTTCCCTCTCATGTGCAAAATATTGAAGAAAAGTCTCCTTTAAAAATCAAATTGAGTCTGCAAACTTGGTTGGTGAAATACTGACATGACTGAGGACATTTTCTTTGCCCCAGCATGCCCAGTGGCATTTTTTGAGGAATTTGCTGGCTAAACTGTGAGTAAAGTGGGCCTGATTTAGTTTTGCACGTTTCAGAGCACTCCAGAGCCCTGTCTGACATGTCTGACACTACTATTACTATGGCAAATGTATGGCCTAGTCCTTTTATAGTGTTTAGTTTTAGTGAGTGACAGTGACAGTGACGCACAGCAAGGTCAAGTGATTTATGGAATATTGATTCACGACACGAGGCCTCATTTGCTTCCCCATCTAAAATCATGGAAAATAACCCCTACAAGTACAACACGTAACTTACTTAAAGCATGTCCTTCAGATGCCTACAACAACTGCGGAACCGTTGTGTGAAGTGAAGCAGATGTGGTATTTTTTTGTGGTTGTGTGGTCTTTTTACCAGGCACGAGCTTGTATGCTGCCCCCTATAGCCTGTATATCATTATGACCATTTTTGATACCCAGGCTAGCTTACAGTAACGGCTTTATCCTTGTCCCAGAACCACTGCTTGCCAAAACAAAGAGCCTCCGGTACACCCTGGCCTCAAAAGACCGCATATTTCTCATGCAGATGACATACAAAAATTAGGACAGACATCAATGATCACAAAATCAGCGATCGGAAAATCTGGTAGTGCGAAAAGAAGTCGAATGGCTTACGAAACCGAGTTTTGACAAACTAATGACCGTCGCCATGCTTGACTCGCGCGGTATAAATATGATTTCACACGTGGATGCAGACGTTGAGGTTCTAGGCTTGCCTTGAGGATCGCCGGGCAGGGTTGCGATTTTATTCCGTACTAGTAAAATCATAGATGGTAAAATACAGGAATTGTTCATTTATACCGCATAACCGGGCCATCTCGCCGCGGTGAGTTCTGTTAAATCATTACTCCCCACCAGTGGTGTGTGTCGATATCGCACGCAGTGATCTCTGCTGTAAGCAGATTACACCACAAAAAGAAAGCTGCAGATATGGAGCTAAAGATATGGACATATCTATTTTGCTGATCATTTAAAAAAAATAAGGTAATACTTATCTTATTAAGGACATCAGGCTATTCAAATACGACTTACGAGTTCTGTTTAAAACTGACTTTTGCAGATGACTGTCCACTACCAAAGTGACTTTTGCAGGCTAAAGCAGTTTTTTCTTCTTCAGATAAACTCATGTTAGTTGTCATTTTGAAAGCACTTTCAAAGAAAATGTGACTTTCCTACCTTTTTTTTTTTACAGTTCGCCATCTTGCTTTTTAAATGTATTTTCTGTTTGTCATCGTTGTCTTTAACCCCTCATAAATCAAAGCCCTGCCCTCTTTCTACAAAATTTAGCCTGCAGATATTCAAGAAGGTGTCACAACAGTTCAAATGTGTCAAGAAACATCAGAATGTGATTTTTGAGTGTCATTTTAATAGTCAGCTGTTTTGGTGAGTCTTTTTCTTTTAACCTATATGGGAACGGGGTCCTTAAAGTAAGGATTACCAAAAATATAGCCACTCTAAAAAAAATCGAGTGTGGGCGACTGACTATATATAAAGTGGTCTTTCCGACCTTGCTCTATATCTATTATATGCATGGACGAACATACCATGGCGGGTTCGTTCTTATTCCTCAATGAACACACACATGATGCTAGGAACACAAGCCAGTGTGTATTTGCCTGCAATCGGGACCGGCCCCTGTTGTCCCTGTTTTGTACCTGAACTTTTTAGGAAGACCTCCCATATGTTTTGTACACGATCGTAAATTGGGGACCTTCGGGATATTTCCTCTATTAATTGTTCAACGTCCCTTATTAAATGCAGAAACAAACTCATGCAAGAAGGCATGGAATATGACCATAATGACCCACTGAAAAAAAAGCTTGGCCCAGAGCCGGGAAGTGTTACACATTCGTGTGGTGTCCCCTACTGTGATTTATGGATTTGGCAAACAGATAAACGTCATGTTAGCCTTGACCAAGGCTATCAGCTTGTTCCCATATGAGCTTGTTCCCGCTACTGCACACGGCGCGCGCAGCAACACAATGTTGTACTATACCGTTAGCCCCAACGACCCTTGCGTGTGCTTTGTGTGCATGTACGTACGCCCCACACTCACTTCCTCAAACAGCCGTACAGTAAGTCGAGGCAGAAGATAGCCTTGACGCAACCGTGTATGCTGAATATGATAATTAGTTCGCGCTATGGCAAATAGTCTTCTCTCATTGGATAACGGCTGACAAAAATATGAATATTTAATAATTGTATAATACTACCAAAGGTTTGTAAACCAGACGGCCTGTGGTAACAATAATTATTGTAAAACACCCCCTTAAAATCTGAAATAATAGTAGAATAATATTTATAAAAGTACACATAGTTTGGGTCGAAAATTAAATGAAAAGGATGAAAAATTAGACCTTCAAAAAACGGCAAACGGTACAAAACCGCACGCCGGCAAAAACGATGTCACCATGCACAGAGGCCACGTTGGGGCCGTCCACTGTAGGCACCGGCCCGGCTGGCGCCATGCAGTGAGACACGCTGCGCTTTCACGTTCAGCGGCAAAAAAGTGCTCACACTATTGAGTATGTATCTACCGCTGACTTTTTTTTGGGGGGGGGGGGTATCTCTCCTTCAGCAAACTTATTCTGTAAGACTGATTTTAACTTGTATGAACAACTTATAAGTTATATGTCGTATGTACGACTAATATATCGACAGAGTACGACATATTTCGACAGGGTACGACTAATATCATCGACAGGTTACGACATATATGTCGACAGGGTATGACATATCAAACATATGACATAATGTCGACAGGTGCCGGTACGACATATATGTCGTGCATAAGTCGAGTCGACAGGGTACGATATATGTCGCATACGACAAAGTCGTATATATAAGTACGACTTAATATCTCGTGTGTACAAAATATGAATTGCACTCGTATGTTCGACTTGTTTGTCGATTATGTCGTACATACAACATATCTTGTGAGAACGACTTGTATCTCGTACGATTTACATCTACGACTTAATGTCGTACGTATGTCGTAGGTACGACATACGATTCATACGTACACGTTAAAATACATGTGTCGTACGTATGAGATGTACATGTATGTTGCACATGGTACGAATTCAGGGAGAGTTTTTATTTCACCATGTACCTGACAGTTTCGTATATTTCCATCCCAAAGTCAAAAGCTCGTTTCTTGCACTTAATTCATACGGGTGCTTATAGATACGAGTTAACCTGCATTCGATTAAATGGGTACAATTTGACCTGGGTCCGAGTTGACCTATTCCCTACATTCGCTGTCCGGCAGAATAGCACGGGTAGGTAGCGGCGTGATAATGTACGCTGTTGCACCGAGAAAATGTCGGCGGACGGTCTTGAACTGTCCAATTCGCAATACATTGGAAATATATCATTTTGAACAATTGTTCACTCATATAGCGGCATATCTTATTTGTTTGTAATAAAACTGGAGAAATGGTTTAAAATGGGACCATGGTTTGAGTGAACATACATGTACGTGGTGTATACAGTAATTTGCGGGTCATGAATATTGTAACGTCTCTCTGGGGTGAGAGACATTATCAAATAAAGAGTCAGATACAAATATCTTACACACACACTCTAGTACTTTATTCGGGATTATTTACATCTCAGCTGAATAGAGGGCGCACTATATACAATGTAAAGTTAAGGCGTACATGTGTACATGTCAGGAACTCTGTCGGGGTCAGAGCCCAGAGCAACAATCTAACGCATCATACGTGCGGGAGCTCTGTGTAGGTCAGAGCTCAGCTCAAGAACCTACTGGGTGAGAGCCCAGTACAACAATGACCAGAACTGCCATTTCTACGCGCTTTATAGACTTTTGGGGGCGCGTCTTAGCCAATGGGAGCATTGGATTCTGGTAGTTATGAATAATGCATCCGTGTACAAAGGCATGGGGAAAGTTCTCTATGGGAGAATTGTACACGACTGACTTAGACATTCTAGTGGGAGAAAGTCCGAGAGCAGTGGTTAGCGGGCGAAGTAGGATCACTCGTGGGAGCCTTACGGGGAACTGATCCTCAAGGAAAAGGGAAAGGGAATAACTTCTCGGTACATAGGTTTGTGTACAAGACTTAGTCTCTAGACTAGGTAAGAATCTACACACTAATGCTATGGAGAAAACTATGAGACGAAGGACGTAACCTGACCTCTAGCTACCGTAGGTCTCGGCCAGTGGGTTAGCGGGACACACTCGCTGTGGTGTACGGGGTCACTAAGGGGTGAATACACGGGTAGGTTTTAGCGAGCCACATTCGCTAAATGCTTGGGGTCAATGTGGGTCGGATGCGAGGTAAGGTGTGTGAGGGGAATTCGCATCGACTCCGGGGAAAGGTGGAGGGAAAATGGCTAAGTCCTAAGTACATGTCCCATGGCGGTACATGTTCAATAGCAGTGAGTGCTACATGCATTGCGCGCTATACAATAGCGTACTGTACAATGTGCTGCACACTTAAACGTGTGTCTAAGACTTCGTGGTAAAGCTTCGCGCTGTGTGAGGGCACACAGGATCGCTGCAAGCATTACGCTGTGCACGGAGTGGAATGGACTGGTTGGGAAAGAAGTAAACTACGTAATTTGCGGGAACGCAACACTATCTCCCCCTAGTTTTTACAACGTCCTCGTTGTAATAAAAGGAATTTCGGAATAACAAGAGTGAAGAAAAGCAAAGATAAATGAAGCGCTAAAAACATGCAAAAAGTGTAAAACTTAAAAGGGAACATAAAGAAAACAACGAACGGTTACATTTCCTTTAAATGCGGATAAATGAGAGATAATCAAAACAAAAAGAACGTAAATATTCATCTAAAACGACGAAAATAAAAGTTCAGTGTCCATATCAATGGAGGGAAAAACACTGAGTTCATTCACTCGGCGCAGTTCATCGACCATGAATAAGCGTCGTGGAAATGGGGCTGGGAGACTAGAAATAATCCTGAAGTCTCGCTGGCCTTCTCTTAGAACGGGTACTCCTCCTCTCTGACAAGGGCGAAGTTCCTGTCGCAGAGGCCGCTACAGTTGGTGTCGGGGAACCAGATACTGTAGCAGGCGGGGTTGATGAGGGGTCATCAGCGCATTTGGTGCTGGATGTTTTCCTGGCGTTACTGCGGGGGACAGCATCATCCTTTGAGAGAGAACCCTTCTCCATCAAAGTTTTACGAAGGTCCAGCATCCATTTTGGGACCTCGTCACTGAGATACTGCTTAAGTCGGTCATGGTGAAGAATTTTTGTTCTTCCCCGTTGCTTGAACCGGACTTCAAACAGAAGATCACTCAATGTTCTGAGAATGACGCAGGGGCCTGCCCATTTAGCTCGTTTTAGCTTGGGAGATAACCCAAGGGTTTTTGTGCTGTCTCGCATGTACACCAAGTCACCAATTTGATAGTTTCTTTGGGA